CGGCAAGGGTGGGGTTTGAGGCATGTACCCGACCTCGGAGCATGGACCCACTGAATCCTGGGTCATTTTGCCAAGGGCTGCAAGCTCCCCAGCTGTTTCCTGTGTGGCCTGGGGGAAGAACCCACCCTCAGAGCACCAGGAACTCCCAGCAGCAGTCAGTCCTGGGTTGCTGAAGTGGAGGCCACGGCGTGGTAAAACTCTGGGTCTGGCCCAACACGGGGCAGGGCTGACCTTCAAACCAGACCCTGACAGTAGAAAGGAGGGAGCCCCATTCCTCACAGAATCTGCTGTTGGATAGTTTGCTGTCAGTGGCCTGCCAGCCATGAACCCCATTCTCCTGGAACCCGGACCTTGACAGGAGGGAGGAGGGAGCCCCTTTCCTCACGGAATCAGCTCCTTTTGTTACTGTTTATTTATTAATAAATTTATATATTATTTTCATATACATTTTACTAATTTCCTTTCATCTCTCACACTTCTATTATAGAAAAAGGGCAAATAGCAATATTAAAATATCTGTGCTAATTAATTCCCTTTTTAAAAAAATATTATTTTATTGATTTTTTACAGAGAGGAAGGGAGAAGGATAGAGAGTTAGAAACATCGGTGAGAAAGAAACATCGATCAGCTGCCTCCTGCACACTCCCCACTGGGGATGTGCCCGCAACCAAGGTACATGCCCTTGACCAGAATCGAACCTGGGACCCTTGAGTCCGCAGGCCGTTGCTCTATCCACTCAGCCAAATCAGTTAGGACAATTAATTCCCTTTTAATGTGCATGAATTTCGTGCACCGGGCTACTAGTATTACCAATAATTGCAATGACTGCAATCCCTTCTATTTTATTTTATTTATCTTATTCATCTATTCTCTTGGAATTTTAATTTCCCAATACATACCTCTGAGAACAAACTGTTGGCATACCCATATAAACGATTTGATGAAGAAAAAGGTGAAAATAATAAATAGGTCTGCTTTGTTGTCTCATGTTATGCTTGAATACAATTAATTCCTTTATTACTGAAGACCTGAAACATTGCTTCATATTCCATTTATTTGTGTGAAGTTTCAAAGTAAATGAGAAAAAAGAATCAATTTGTTCTAAATGTATGACCATCTGAGTTCATAAAACAAAGCAAGAAATTCAAAGAAAAGCATCTTATTCACTGCTGAAACAGTATAAATTTTCTGGTGGTTATTTAGAAATATGTATCAAGAGTTTTTAAAATATTAATTTCCTTTGGCCGTCAATTCCTCTCATAGGAACTTATCCTGAAGAAGCAAAATAAAATGTGGGTAACATTCCATGCATAAAGATGTTCACTACAGTGTTATTTATAACAACAATTAATGCCCAAGAGTAAGAAAATGGTCCAATAGTAAATAGCTATTGGATAGCCATGTTTATGACATTTTAATTATATAAATTGCTTTGTACTGCTGTTCTGCTTCTTTAAAAGCAAGACATGAAAAGTATATATGGTACTAACTTAAATTATGCTTCAAAAATAGAAAATAAATAAACCTAGAAGTAAATATGACAAAAGATTAATAGTATTTGCACTTTTAGTAGTAAGATTATGGGTGGGTGGGTGAATGTGTTTTCCTCTGCTTCTAATAATTATCTATACTTTCCAAATTTACTACATTGAACATTGACTACTTTAATAATCAGCAAGGGGAAAAGAAATGTAAAAAATATAAAGGAAATAAAACAGTTTAAATAGTCAAGACAGATCATTTTTTTTCCTCTTACTGAAGTTTTATTGTGAATCCTATATAATAAAAGGCTAATATGCAAAGTGACCAAAAGGCAGAATAACCAGTCGGTATGATGTGCACTGACCACCAGGGAGCAGACGCTCAATGCAGAGCTCACAGCTGGTGAGCACAGCGGTGGTGGCAGGAGCCTCTCCTGCCTCTGCAGCAGTGCTAAGGACATCTGACTGACAATTTAGGCCCGCTCCTCCCTAAGCTATCAGTCAGACATCCCCAAGGGCTCCCAGACTGCAAGAGGGTACAGGCCGGGCTGAGGGAATCCCCACCCCCACCCCCCGCAAGTGCATGAAGTTCATGCACTGGGCATCTATATTTAAACAGGATGATTTACTTTAACATCAAATGAGTATTCTGCTGTATCAGTAGTAAATTTCCACATAAGAACATTTAATACAGGTTTTTCAGAGAGAAAATGGTACAAGGATATTCAGTTTTCATAGTCTCTTGCAAATGCACTAGTTAAACACTATTTTTGGAGGTTTATATATCAGCCCTTGAAATATAGCACTGCATGCTCCAAGTTTTTATCACTTCCTAAAAACACCAAGAAAAGTAACCCAAAAGCTAGACCTGTTTATAAAGTATATTTGATGCTGTGATTTTTAACATTCATTTAATGAAGTCAGTCTTTGATGACTAATATTTCTTTGCCTGCTAGTACCAAACCGAAATAAGGTTCCTGACTAGATTACATTCATGCAGGTCTCATTTTAACGGAAATTGGAGAGATGGAAAAAGATTACAAGAAGAGACATTATGAAAACAGACCTCACAAGTCAAACTTAATAGTAAAATCATTCTCTTTCATGTAGACAACCATGAAAACAAATATCCTGTGAACTGGAGATATATACTGTATCTTTCCAGCAGATCTTTATGCTTTCTTGAGGCAGATTTCCATAACTATATAATGTGATTATAGTTGATGAAGCAATGGCCCACAGAAAGGCTGATAAAGCATCAGGCTCCAGGAAACCAGATAAACATGTTCATGATTTCTAAGTGTAACAAAGGTAGAATAGTACTGGGTATGAAGATAGAATCCAAAAGACTGGGAAAATATTGGTTCCTCCAACTTTAAAAATAAGCGCCAACTGTCTTATTTCAGTAATCCCTCAGGACACATTCATGTTACTTGCTTATTGAACTGGTAAACAAGGCTATGAAAATAGGCTGCATGACTTCAACATGTAATATGAATATTTTATAACTCTGGAAGAGATATTTTAAACAATAACAACAAAAACATAACTATAAAATTAGGGTTGGAATTTAATATGGCCCAAAATTAAAAAACACTATAATTTCAGGGTTTCCACTAAGTCTCTATTTAGCAAAGGATATAATGAGGATAGACAATGCTGTTTTTTTGAAAAGTAATAGGTCTCATTTTGGAGGAGCTCGTGGATTCTTGTGTGTGGTAGGCAAGCTGAAGGATGCACATATGCTGTGCATAAAGAAGAAAAGACTAATCGCCTTTATGAATTTAGAAATCCTGGCTTATAACACTTTTAATAAAATGTCCTCCCCCCTCCTTCATATAAATTGACTACATTATCTCAGTAGTGTGTGTATGTGCCAACTGTAAGTTACTGACTGACATGGCACAGGAACACCCACAGAAGAGTAAGAGGTTGTGTGTTTATCTCATGATAGTAGAGATCTTCATAGGGAACCCAAACTGAGAGTGCCAAGACTCAGTCTAGTGCATCTGGCTAAAGCCTCTGCTGTAAGTTATATTCTCAAGACTCAGTGACATAGACTTTGGTGAATGCACTTTGGAATTATCGATTGTCTTGATGGAACAAGCTGGACAATCCTAGGGTCAGATGAGCTCCTGTAGGTAACGTATAGGTTTTCCTAAGGTGGGTGGAGAGAGAAATATTGTTCCTCTTACTATGAAAGAAAAAAAAACACCACCACCAAAACAGGACTTTTCCCATGAAAGAGAAGTACAACCCAGAAGCAAACCTAGGAACTAAAGTTTATCCTTGAGCAGCTCTCTGTGTAGGGTGAAACCTTTCTCCCAGTTCTCCTAAAATGCTGAGATAAATCATATTTAGCTAACAATGTTCAGAGCTCTCCCATAAATTTAATTCCTTCCAGTTAAACCCCAAACTTCAGTAAACATTACACACACAGAGTCCTGTGTCAGTGATGTTGTAGGGAGTTGGGAGAATCAACAGTAAAGCTACGTGGCTGTTCCTGAGCCCTCTTCTACTGGAGCCGGTGGGCCAGGAACCGCCCTGAGCCAAGGAAGAATCCGAGTTCCCTAAACTCCAGATGCTGACCATTGTCTGACACACAATGCAAGTTGCAGTTGAGAGAAAAAGAGAGAAGCAAGCAAGAAGGTGAAAGAGCAAACAGGAGAGATTGACTTGAAAGAGGAAATTAAGCAACCTCCTCACATTCTCCTAAATATACTAAAAAATAGATGACCCTGAATGAAGAAGGCAGAGGTTAGGTTATAGGGCTATGCTTTCATCTGCTTAAAAAAAATCATATCACTATGTGTACAAAGTCTGTGCAAAGTCTTTCATGATTAGCTGTCTCAGTATAACAGAATGATAACTGATTTGTTAAGATTATATTTTAATGTTTGTTCAAAGCATATGTATTTAGTTCTCTTTTCATCAATACTCTCTCCCATTCAAAGCAGATTTGAACAGGATTATGAAATCATACACTGTTAGAAAATGTAAATGATGAAATCATGATTAAAGACAGATTATTATGATCTGAATTTTTTGAAAAGTCAGTACACAGAAACACAAGCAAAATCATTAGAGAAGGCTATAAAATTGACTCTGAGTTTTCCAACAGCCTAAGCAAAGGGAAAATAGAATGAGTTACAAGAATCATATTGTTTTTATGATATAAACATCTAATTGTATAGGAGAAGAAAAGCTTTTTCCTGAAACTGAGGCCCTGTGAGAATTGTATAATGATTTACAGGTTTTTATAGAAGAAATGAGATAGAGAACATACCATAATAAACATAATACAAGTCACCTCCTATAGGTTCTTACTGTATTCCTCAAGGAAGCCTACCATATCAAGCTAATGCTTCAGTTTCTAAAGCATACATTTTGTTCTCAATTACCTATTTGTATTATTTAATAATCTTTAGATAACAAAAAACAACATATTATACCTATTTATCTATGTCTCTAGAAACAAAACTGTGTCACTGTTAAATACACAAAACCGTCCAAATATGTTCATGACTTTTTAAATATTCCTAACCTAAAACAAAAGCACAATCTTCTTACCAAAACCAAACTGAAGGTATCCACTATTTCCCTCACCTGTGATTCTTTCACATTTTCAACAGTAAAGTTGAACCAGACTCGGAAGCGTGGATTACAGGTATCCGGCCTAATGAACAAATCATACTCAAACTCAGAGACCTGGTCCACCCGTCCAAGGTTACCTGGTAATAAAAATTAAGAGAACTGGGTTTTAATAGAAGATCATGCAGTTCAAGGGTACATACATTTAAAATATTAGGAGTTCTGACAGTGACATTTGTCATCATTCAGTACTTATAGGAACAGTATTCACAATCTCTAAGGCTGCTGACTCCAAATGCAGAGCAGAGGCTTTGAGCTAAGCCAGGCTGTGATGCAAGCAGCTTTTTCAATCCTTATCACCTAGCAGATCTTTTTGTCTTAGATTGGGATACTGTATAGAGCATGTATCAAGGACCAATAAAGCAATTAAGAATTATAACCAAACTTCAGTTTCCTAGTTCGAAAAATAAGGATGATAACACCTTAACATTTGAATTAACCTATGTGGTATACAAGCTACTTCTAATATATTTGATCTTATTTAACTCTCAAATGCAATAGGGCTATGCATTTGTACTGTGTTTGGTCTATCTCTCAACTTTTATCAGAATATGTTAAAGGTTTTAAACAAAAAAATTAGAAGTAGTTACTCTGTAAGAATAACAATGATAAATTTACAAACGACATTGAAATTATTTTTCATTTTCTCCAACAACAGAACTAACAGTTATATTAAAAATGTACAAACTTAACACATTGGGGCAGATCACGAGCATTCTCGTGTTTTCATATTACACAGTGTTTTACATAAATGCTAAAGGCACACCTTAAAATTAAATACCCATTGCATTTTGAAGTTATTTATTATATGTTCTTACAGGCTAATATCTTTTTAAAGTATGATACTTTGTAAAACGTTTTCTGTACTCATTCAATAGAAACTTATCTGGCCATTGGGTAAAGCTAGCAATAAAACTACTGGTGCGCAATGTGTTAAGTTTGAGTTTCATTCTTTGTATCTCCTCTCTCAGATATTCAAATGAGTAGTGAATTGCCCAAAATGTTAATAGTAATATAAAATAAAATAAAAAAGAGTTTGATGAATTCCCAAACCAGATCATCAATAGCTAAGGAAGAGTAAAGATAACTACAGACATCAACAAAGCAATTGAATGAGAAGTTAGTATTGTATTGCATTTGAAGAGCAAAGCAATTTGTTGCTTTAAAATGAGCTCTAGTGTCTTTGGTCAAAAGTAAAAATACCAAAACAACTCAGAATTGAACTTTAACCAAACATAAACAGAAAATCTTTAAAGCAAACAGGGAAAAGTAGCTATGACACATACAAAAGAACAACAATAAGAATGATCATTGACTTTTTCTCAGAAATCATGGGGATAGTAATGAAATCTTTAAAGTGATGAAAGAACAAAACTCTCAATATTCAATATCCAATGAAAATATCCTTAAAAATGAGGGTGAACTAAATCATTTTCAGATAAACAAAAGCTAAGATAATTCATTTCTACCAGACCTGCATTACAAGAAAAGCCAAAATATATTAGATAGAATGCATGTCTATAAGAATAAATGAACACCATAAAATATTAAATAGTATTTAAATGTAAAAGACTTTGTCTCATAATTTTTAAAAAGTCAATTGACTGTTTAAACAATGACATACTTTGTATAAAGCTTGAGATAGAAGCAGTATTGATACAAATAAATACATTGCAATGGGTCAAGCAAGAATTGATGAGGGATCACGGGAAGCAGTGAGAAGAAGGAATCCACTGGTATATATTAAAGCATAAATGTTACTTCCCCACTTGATACTTTTATTTAAATGTTTAACTTTCATGGGAAAGAAGGGGCAAAACAGTCACAATTATGGAAAAAAGTAATACTGAGATTTCCTTTCAGCAAAAATACAACAACAGTGAGGTCATCTTAGATATGAATTCTTGAAGGGTTGGATTATGATTTGGCAGGTTTGGATTAGATAATCAAAGGTTCCTTCCAACCAGAGGTGGGTTTACTGTGAAGCAAATGAAGCTTAAGCTTTAAGGTTCTTCACGTACAAGAGCCCTTATGAAGGCTAAGAGTTGCAGACAGTATAATATAAAGGAAAAGCAAGGCTGCACTTCTTTGAAGCATATCCTGTAAATAGCCAGAGATTTCAGCAGAAAAAGACCCAAATCCCTAAAGATCCAATAATTTATTGTGATATTTATTCTGAAGATATAATTTTATATTAATAATTTTGTGAATTTTTCTTAAAGACAACCCTCTGAAATTATATAAGCTTCAAGCTATACAAAACTTAGAATGGCCCTTGCTTCCAGCTCTGGGCTTCTGTGGCATTAAAAAATAGAGTTGTAGTATGACTCATAGAGTTGAGGGCATATTTTCATCTTCATCTACAGAAATTGATTTTCCTAGTAAACAAACAAGATGATTTCCTTAAAATATATTAGGAGCTATTAACTAGCAATTAAACACTGAATACCAGTACATGATGAATAATTAATGCTTTATATCTCGCCATCCAATGATGAATAAAAATAGAGATTTGAAGGTTGAGTGACATTTTCAAAGTCATTCTTCTTTAAAAGTTAAAAATGCTTTCTGGGTACATATTTTTAAGTGGATGGACTATTGATTAGAATGGCAGTCAGAAGACCTGGTTATAGCTCTGGATCTATCATTGCTTACCTTTGTGACCTTGGGCTTATGACAGAATTACCTGTACTGTAACTCTGATTCTCACATCAATTTCTCAATTAATCTTCTCTTACTCAGTCTGTAGAAACAAATTCCAAACTGTTCTTCATGCCCACAGCAAGACCTCCACTCTCATATCATATGATTTCCACGGAGCTGCCTTTAATGGATTTCTACCATTTAAAGAATGAAATCCGAAATCAGCCTATCACAAAAAGTCTCTATAACTAGGCCCTTACATACCTGTGCAAATTCAGCTATCATCTGAGTTCCTGGGGGAAGTGGGAGTTAATACACAGATTAATCACTGTTACACAACCATTCTGCCTTGGCACATTTACTTAAGCTATTCTCATAGTTTGGTGCCCTCTCATCATCTATGACTTTTCATTGAAGGTATCTTCCAAGTTATTTTCAAAAATTAATCTTTCCCCATCATCTTCTCATATCTTTCCCCATCACTTTCTTTATTACTCATTTATAATGTCCATCAGATGCTAAAGTGGTTGAGGACTTTGGCAGTGAATCAGACAGTCCTGGTCTCAAGTCTTTGCTCTACCACTCACTAAGTTGTGTAACTCTGGGAAAGTTATTTAACCTCCTTGAAATTCAGCTTTCATTTACTAAGTGGACCATGTGTATAAGGTATCTTCTACATGCATGGAAATCAGCATAAATTCAGTGAAGAGGAAGCAGTATAATCCATCAGGCTTCCATGTCTACGTGAACTGGGCTTACCAATGAAGTTCATTGTCAGTGGAATGAGGGTAGAATAGAAATGACGGGTAAGATATTTCTGATCGGCTTTCCCAGTTAGTAATAAGGCAATATTTAGCTTCCCATTTGGCTTTTTCCCCCCATTTGGAACTTTAGTATTCTCAGCAAGTAGACCCAAAAAGGAAGAGTATTGGATGGTATGATTCATGAAAGAAATTCCACTCTAGACCCAAACAGGGTGAGTTACTCTCCTTTGTTTCTATTGGAAATGTTCAAGAAGTACTTTCTGAAAGTTAGTCAAATTGATATATGAAACATCTTAATTCTCTTATTTGGAAAGTAAACTAACCAATTTCTATCTTTAATGAAATATTCACTTAAATATTTATTTATTTATTGAGTATAAATTATAGGTTAACATAAAATTATTATTATGGTTATGACAGTGAACAGCACACAGTCTCTATCCTTGGGTTCGTATGCACTCATTGAGAATATAAACATCAATCTAATAACTTGAAGTATGATAAGGGTTATGAAGAAGAGATATATTCCTGGTATCATAATAGCATACAATAGGATAAAGTAATCTAGTTTATAGGATGAAAGTAGGCTATCCTTTTTATTTTTTAATCCTCACACAAGGGGATATGGGTTTTTTTTTATTGACTTTTAGAGAGAACGAAAAACATTGATGTGAGAGAAACATTGATTGGCTGCCTCCAAAATGCTCCATGACTGGGGATCGAACCTGCAACCTTTTTCTAAAAACATATAGATAGATAGATAGATAGATAGATAGATAGATAGATATAGATAGATAGATATAGATATAGATATATAGATAGATAGATAGATAGATAGATATATCTTACCTAATAATACACAAACATGTAAATTAACCATCCCTCCACTACGCTCACCAGCCAATCAGGAGAGTATGCAAATTAACCCAACAAAGATGGCGGTTAATTTGCATACGTAGGGGCAAAGTGGCGGAGCGACAACTGAAGGCTCCCTCCGAAGCCGCGAAGACTGAACGCTCTGGCCGGAGCAAAGGCCTGGGTCCCAGGTGCCGGAGGAAAACCGATGCCGGCAACCAGGGGAAGGGAAGGCCTATTGCACGAATCTCTTCATGCAATGGGATATATATATATATATATATATATATATATATATATATATATATATATATACGTGTATATATATATATATATATATATATATATATATATATATATTTCAGAAAGGAAGAGAGAGGGAAGAGAGACAGAAACATCAATGATAAGAGAGAATCACTGACCTGCTACCTCCTGTGGACCTCCTACTGGGGATTGAGCCTGCAACCCTGGCATATGCCCTGATCAAACTGTGATTTTCTGGTTGATAGGTCAACACTCAACCATTAAGCAACACTGGCCGGCAAACCAGCAACCTTTTGGTGTACAGGACCACACTCCAACCAACTGAGCCACTGAGTCAGGGCTAAGCTATTCTTGTACTCAGTGTTATGAATTGAATGTTTGTGTCCCCACTCCACCAATTTCATATGTTGAAAATCAATCTCCAAATGTGTCTTTACTTGGAGATGGTGCCTATAAGGAGGTAATTAAGGTTAAAAGAGTGGGGCCCTGATATGATAGGATTAGTGTCCTTATAAGAAAACACCACAGAAGCATTCCTTCTCCATCCCTCCCTC